GCCAGATGAATAGAAAGAAGAAGTTATTGTACCAATACACCAAAAAGAAAACAAAAAGCAATGTATTAACTAGAGGGGAATAACACTCCTAAACACTATTTACAAAATCCTTGCAAACATCCTGCTAGAAAGAACCAAAACATACACAGAAGAAATTATTGGAGATTATTACTGCGAATTTAGATCGGGCCGCTCTATATCATATCATAAAAAGCAGAATTATCACAAGGACTACTAGAAACTCGACTCAAAATTAACTTTAAGAGCTCTCTAATATAAACTTCAATTTGAAGATCTTCGTTGCCAAACCCAGACTGCAAACTCTGCTAATTTTTGAACTGGATTGGAGGTATTTTAAATTTGCGCTTACCTTTACACTTGATGACAGAACTTACTGAACCTGTTCTGTCATTGTATTTGTACTTAAGTTCAAAGTACCTTGCACTGTACGCTAATTTTCTGACAGGGTCGCGTGTCTACCGGTTCAGCAAACAAACTGTCCAAAACAATAGCAATTTTCGTAAATGCACTACGCCCTACCGTTCTGCGTTTTCGGGGAGATAATACGTTCTTCGTTTTCTGGGTTTAAAATAATTGGTGCAAAATTAAATTTTAAGTACAAAAAACTTACTTTTTTATTAAATTACACAAGTGTAATTTTAATACAGTTTGCTTTGGTTGTACAAATCTACAAATTCGACTACTGTATCTGTGCAATTATTATTATTAATATGATACATGATACCTACTACATTCCCAGACGAAAAAGTCGTAAAATTTAATCGCCCAGCGTTCAGCTGGATGTGCTGATAGGGAATTTTTTAAGTAAACATATAGTAGTTACTTGACATTTATCCTACTATACACGTCATAACGTTTAATTTGGAAATATTTTATTAGGTACTTATTTCACCATTTTTATTTACATTTCACCTTACAAGACCCTCCTTCTTACCGCATTCTTGCATTGATAACTGATGTAGAATAATAGTTTTTGTAATTACTCTTTTGTTATTGTTAGAATTATTGAGACCAAAATAACTTTAATCTGAATTTGGTGGATGTGCCTATAAGTATTAGTATATGCGCATCCACCAAAACCCAAGGTTCGTTCTGCTCGTTTTTGATCGTTTTGTGGTAGGGGTAGAACGGCTAGCTGGATCGTGACTATAAGTATCATTTGAGACGGTTTTTGATGAATATGATGCGATGACAAAGAAAAATTAAATATGACGACATGCCAAAGAAGCTTTAGACACGCATCTTTCATACTATCAGGCCAATCGTGACGTGCGAGGTATCATAAGAAAAGATTAAGCAAATATAATACAATGACAAAGAAAAATTAAACATGACGGCATGCCATGAAGACCTTAAGCTTATATCACCCAAACATCCACGGGAAAAATCTTTTGAATAGGCAGTAAATTCATGACCTTTCGTCTGTCACGTCTTCTTCTTTTCGTTTCATCTTCTTGTACACCCCAGTGGGGCTGGTATGGTGGAAGTCTAACGTCACAATAGTCTCGTTCTAACGTCCTGATGAAAGAAACACATGTTTCTAAAATTTAACAAAGAAAAAATAGTACATTTTATTTACCATACAAGCCCTCTACAATTTTTTCACCCAATATTTCTAGTGTTTTGTCATTTGGTCAACTATCGCATAATTGCTCTAATGGCGCATTGCAGTAAGATACTCTTACACATAATTCTCGAGAGGGTAAAGCCCTTTTTACTACCTAACATTGCGGAGGAACAAGCAGGTTTCGTCCCCGGACGTGGTACTAGAGAACAAATTTTAAACGTACGGCAGATTGTAAAAAAATCCAGAGAATTCAACATCACAACATATTTTTGTGCTTTATAGATTATAGTAAAACTTTCGATTTGGTCAACTGGAGTAAAATGTGTCTGAAATGGGAGTCCCCAATCATCTGATACTGCTAATTAAAAGACTGTACAATAACAATTATGCCAGAGTTAGAATAAATGGGGAACTATCCGATAGTTTCAGGGTCACAAAGGGCGTGAGACAAGGCTGCATACTAAGCCCAATTCTATTTAATATCTATGGTGAATGGATAATGCGGAAAGCTACTGAGGACTGGAACGGTGGCATCACCATTGGCGGGAAGAAGATTTGCAATTTGAGATATGCAGATGATACTACTATCCTCGCTAGTTCTGAAGCTGAATTGATTCACCTGCTACAACGGATAGAAGACGTAAGCTTAACGATGGGCCTAAAATAAACAGAGATAAAACGAGAATCATGATAATTGATAGAGCTAACAACAATCAAAATCATCTGGTCATGATAAACAATATCGCTGTTGTAGATAAATTTGTGTATCTGGGCTCATTAATAACCAACAAAGGAGGCTGTACTAAAGAAATAAAGCGGCGGTCAGCAATCGCAAAAAGCGCTATGTCAAAATTAACAAAAATTTGGAAAAGCCATGAAATAACTACGAATACAAAAATGAGACTAGTAAGAAGTCTAGTTTTTTCAGTTTTTACTTATGCATCGCAATGCTGGACCCTTACTGAGAAAGACAAAAATAACATAGATGTATTTGAGATGTACTGCTGGAGGCGAATGCTGAGAATACCATGGGTGGCCCGAAGAACAAATGAATCCATCCTGGACCAGCTAAACATAAAGAAAAGACTAAGAACACAAATATCAGAACAAATAATAAGCTATTTTGGACATGTGCTTCGAAGAAATGGTCTTGAAAAATTTACCATTCAGGGAAAAGTAGAAGGCAAAAGAAATAGAGGTAGATCTCCCACACGATACACGGACCATATTGTTGCTACCATTGGCACTCCATTGTCAGAATGTGCTAGAATGGCAGAAGATAGAAAAACGTGGAGGAACATTGGGAAATTTAGCTAATAGCTTCATGATATCACGATACCTGCATCAGATTAACGACTAAGAAGAAGAAGTCAATTGGTCAATCAAGACTATTTATTCTGTCTTAGAGTGTGGCGCTTTTATATCAATTATTCATACGTATTTCTAATTTAGTTGCAATTGATTAGTTTTAATTTAGAAAATATATTTCAATCTGCCATAAGAAAGTTGATTGACAGTTTTATGTTACTTCAATTCTTTTCTATATCAAATTGGCCAAATTGTAGCGTTTTTTTTTATTTATTGTGCATATAAAATATTTCTATGGTACGTCCCTGTTGTTTTTACCAAAGAAAACAATCGAAATAATATTTCAAGTTTTTTTGACGAGATTTTTAAATGCGTATTAACGCTGGAAATATGTTTTGATCTCTGTGTTGCAATGTTAGGTAAAATAACAAGTTTTTTGTCGCCAAAGAGGTATTATGTTAAAACGCAATAAACATGATTTCCCCTAATAATAAAGTTGTTTTTCGTTATTAGAATGAGAGTCAAAAAGAATATTTGTTTATTTAGGATACCAATACTGGCGTCTAAAAACGCAATAAAGGAATATTTAAAAGGTTTTTTGTCGATACGAACGAGGGGATATTGTTTTGGTTCTTGAGTTTGTGGGGACAGGTTAGCTGCAAGACGGAAGGGAAATTTTTGGAGAGTTTCTTGTAAAATGTAACGAAGAAAAGAAGTCGAGATTTGAGTTCCAAACGGGGCAGATATGTGAGGATGGAGTCAAAGATTAGAAACGAAGTCGAGATTTGAGTTCCAAACGGGACAGACATGTGACAATAGGAGTCGAGATTTAAGTTCCAATCAGGGCAGACATGTGACAATTGAGTAAAAGATTTGAAACGGACTCGACGACTAGATTTGAAGCAGAGCAGACGTGCTAAAATGTGAGTCCAAGAACCTATTTGAAATGGTGGTAGACGCTTTTTGCGGATGTGAAATGTTGGGCCATTTTTGAATCAAAGAGGATTCAATTTCTTTTGAAATGTCTTAGGACCGGTCAATGATAATACTATCAGATTTGAATAAATACCGGAAGCTTCTAAGAAGTATGATATAGGATGTCCCAGTAGTCGGCTCGATTCTTCCACCAAGTTCCTGTTCCTATCGTTTTGTCCTGGAGTGTAGAACTAGTTTCTGATGGTTGCTGCCTTCCAGTTTTGAAAGTTTTGTCCGAGTAGCTTCCCAGAGATGTAAAGTTTCAAAGTGTTTGTATAAAAAAAACATTAAGGTAACAATTCAATATATTAATTTTTCAAAGTAAAGACAGATATTTTTTTGGCTAAAGTAATAATTGCTTTCATTCTTTGTCATCAAAATTAAATGTGATACCTGACAGCAAGCTTAATTTGTTTTTTTTTTTGTTATGAAAATTTTAATTTGTTTATTATGTAAAAACGATATTTCATATATAAGGTTAAATATATGTTTTCATTAAGAAGGATCCTTAATTTTTGATAATCTAATTGGCCATAATATAGTAAACAAAGAACATGTAAGTTTTTGTTATTTGTATTATGTTATACGATATGTTTCTTTTATAATATGTATTTTTGATCTGTTTTGTTTGAGACAAGAATAAACGTTCAATTTGTTTCTCTGATCTATTTTGAGTTTTATTTGAAAAAGATACTTTTTTCTATATTTTTGATGTTATACAATTATTTCCCTAGTTACAACTAGTGGTTGTAATAGGTATAATTGGGCACCTCAAGTGGCGCCCTATATTAAATTTCTTGAGGTGTTTCCGTTTATTTTCATTCTGTTTGTCCCAAGAGATTTGTATAAGTACCCCTTTATTTCTTTTTTTTTGTAGTTGCCCCAATCCAACCCCCAATATCTTCAACTTATCCACGACCCAGCTCTCCAGCAACCAACTGAGTGTCCGTATGCACTTGTTCCGATTATTTTGTTTGCCCAATCTTGTCCCCCATATTCTTACCCTGTGGTAAGCAAAATAGTCGTTACAAAATAGAATTAAAGAGGCTAATGTTGTTATTTTCCGAAGTATTTTTTGTATATATTTTTTAAATAGACACGCAGTATAATTCCTATTATATTGTTTTAGTTTATTTTTGGATTGGGTCTTCCGATTGAAGTTGACCGGCATGCTATAACATTAGGATCTGTATTTAAAGCCTTTTATCTATTACCAACAAATGCTTCAACTTATACGCAGCCTGCTATAGGGGTTGTAGCCAAACGATCTACATCAAGATGGACCTTCTACGAAATTTTAGAGAACGTGATTGCCAGGTAAGGTATTACTAAAATTAATATCAACTGCAAAGACACAGGTACTGTGATTAACACAATTTATAAGAATTTTCCCATTTTTATTTACCTTATGTTTTCCATATTTTCGGGCCCCTTCTCTTTTTTTTAACCGCGCTGACAGATCTCCTAATAAAATTATCTGTTCTCTGCTAAATACATTTTCATGTTGCTATGTGATCATTTAATAACAACTGTTGTTTTAATGCGGAAAGGAAAAAGAAAACAAAGTAAGCTAACATACAACGTTCAATGATTTAGACTACTATATCCCTAACATATAAACCAGGCCTTCCTGTGGCAACTTTAAATTTTTGACAAATGCCCATATACATATTTACTTAAATTTGATTTTATAATATGTTAAAAGTGCTGTTAATTTTGCTTGTACTTCTTTAGGTACAATGATGGAGATGGTAAATCTTGTATTTTAAAGTATATCTGCGAAATTTCTCATTCACCCATTGAAGAACGATCTGGATTATTAGCAGAAATAGTTACTGCCATACTAAAGTAAGTAGAAATATTTTAATCATCACATAAATAACATTCCTAATTTAAAAATTGATGGAAAGTTTTTTCCAGGTAGCACCTGGAGAAACGGTAATATTGCAACTCTTCATATAACTATGACTTCTGATCTACTTAAAATAAAACCTGGTCTGAGTCTAATTTATTCTCTTTTAACGTGGATAAGATAGTAGTATTATCCAATTAATTAGCTCTTCAAGCTTTGCTTTTTAATAACAGATCAGTATCATCAATTCTGTAAAATTTCTTTTAATTTGTTTAGACAGTAACCTTAAATGATCCCATTATATGGATTTGTTGTAAGAAACTAGACTCAGCCTGTTATGCAACAGGATCTGTTTCGAAAGAAAATCAATTTAGCATCTTTCAAAATAACATAGTTTTATTTGTTCGAGTCTCATCTTCGATATGATCTTCCTTTTTGGAGTTCTAGTACAGCTACCACCAAATCTGATGTTATTTTTAAATTACAAAAAAGAGCAATACGGTATCTGTTTGGCCTTAGAAGAACAGCTCATTGCAGAAGCTACTTCAAAAATCACGGGAATCTTAACGCTTTGCCTAATTTGTAAAAACTTCCATGTTTTCCAGCAAGACCTAATCATGACTACTTCACCAGAAATTCAATATTTGATATTTATTTACTGATCCCATCCAGAGTTAGTAAAGAAATTTATATTATATTTGGCAAAAATACTATACAACCATCTCCCTTTACAACTTAAATCTGCAACTTCTTTCCTCAAGTTCAGTAAAATGATAAAAGAATATCTATCTGACAAACCGTATTATTCAGTAGAAGAGTTTCTTAACGAATAACTAAGAAATTCCAGTACATTTATGTACAAATAACTAAAGTATTTTTATATATATTTAGGTATTGCATGCAGCAACTTATTAGTTCGTAAGGTTTTATTATGCAATTTGCAATTTAATTAAATTTTGCGATGGATTGTTTATTATATTATCTTTTATTTTGAGATATTTACGATTTATATAATTCCAGTAAGTTGTAATTATTGTGATTGCTATTTTCTGACTTTTGTAAGCTTTGCAAATAAAATTGTACAATTTTCAATGACAATAAAGCATGTTTATATTCTATTCTATTGTATAAAACGTCTAGATTGTAAAAGAAGAAACACATTGATTACTTGTTAAAATTTCTTTTAAATTTTTAGACCTTCGTCAACAACAGATGAGTTACATTATCCAACAAATATGGATTATTTTTCCGCAGAAAAACTTGGAAAACGACAGGAAAATTGCGATTATCATTATCCAGGTTGCAAATTAAACTTTTTACAACAATTCTCCCGATTTTTGAAATAAAATTTGTAATGATTTTAAATAAAAAACTTTACAGTATTTGTTTAAATTGAATAACTAATAGCACAGGTCTGCAATTTTTAAAAAAATTTATTTATATTGTAGCGTCGATGTGTAATAAACATCCCATTAGGTTCAAGGTCAGAACAACTCAAATCGGAGAGAAATGGCGGGGTAAGGTCAAGCGTATAGAAATTACATAATATCTCAAAAATCCAAACACAATCAGATAATTCGAAATTATAATTTATTATTGGACGCCACCCCTTGTTTATCCTCGTAGGGGACGAGAGAGAATAAAAAAAAAAAGATATATAGAAAATTTACAGCGAGATTACACTTTATTATTTCTCAGTAATAAAAAGAAACATTAAAAATTATGTTATTTTCAAAGGATACTAAAATACCATTTCATAATTACATTACTATAAACAAAACAACTTTATATCTTTTTAAATCAAGAATTGGTTGATAAAAACAAATGAATTTATATATTATTTCCAAATTTCGAAATTCGTTTACAATTAAAATATTATAGTACTTATTTATTAACTAGACATAATAGAAAAGTTAAATCTTTAAACAAAATTTAAAACACTGCTATATTTTCTTTCTCTGAGTCCATAATTATTTCTCGCTTTCTCGATAGGGTATAATAAAAAAAGAAAGGTACAACCTTAATCGTCCATTAGCTGGCAACCATACACAAAGGATATGTTCTGCTTCCTCTCAACCTCCAAGCATTTCGTTAAATTAGGTATTAGGGGTCCATTTAGATCATAAGGAAATATTGGGCTGCGTTTACGACAGCATAAGACTGCTCAGTTAACTTCAAGCCAAATAAACATAATTAATGATCTTTTATTGTCCCCGGTAAAAGAGGTCTAAAAATAATTATTTATCTGAAAATATAGGCAAAAAAAGCCCTTTTTTCTTTGGCTTACCTCCATATAGAGACCACTTCACAAAAACACGTCCTAACAGTTGGATGTTTGTAAGAGAAAAAGACAGACGCTATCATTTCCCGGTTTAAATTGGGGCGTGATTGACAAGTTAATAATCGTTCTCATCTATCGGATAGGTTTAGAATTACAGTAGAAACCTTTAGTCGGCTACAAGTAACCGGCAGATAGATGGGGTTAGCAGTTTTATTAAAAAAAAAATAATCGAATTTATAATGAATTTCCTAAAACTTTTGGAACGGTTACAATATAGTTAGTAATTTGTTGCTAAATTCAAAAATTAATTCTATTTGGCCGTAGCACGTGATGTTTTTACACTATACCTGTGATAGAAGCCACAGTTAGAATGCGGCGTTGGCCTTACGGCGCGCAGCGATGCCACTCATGTCAGCACAGTGGTAGGTGTGTGGTAGTAGGCGACTCATCGCATTTTTTGTCATACCAATACATCACCGAACTTCTGCTTCACAGTTCAACAACTTCTTCAACTTAACTTCTTCAACAACGCTGTCCACTATCTGGCATTCCTATAACATGTTAGTTAGTTGAATAGTGTGGAATCTGTCGATCACCATTATTTTTGTCATAGCTTTATTGATTTTCAGACTAACTTTATTGATTTCGAACTCAACTCTTCGCAGGAAATTAAACATTTCTTACTCATTTGCTGCTATAAGTGTAGTGTCGTCATCAAATCTTAAATTAAAGATTTTCCTACCAGTCCACAGGCCCATCCATCTAAAGCCATCTTCATGACATATTCACCATAAATGTTGAATAAGTCAGGTTAGAACACGCATCCTTGTCTAACACTTCTCTAGGTCTTGAATTGGTGTGAGAACTTCTGATCTAGTCGTACCGTTAACATTGGTGTGCTCATTTCTGTTAAATTGGACCACAGATTTATCCACCTTATATAATCAAAGTAGTCAACGAAGCATATAATTATAGGTACTTGAAATACTCTATACTTTTCAATGAGTTGTCACAGGTTTAGGATTCGTTTCCGTGTACCTTTACCCTTTACAAACTCCGCTTGTTCCTGAGGTATTTGATAATGTAGATAGCTTTTATTAAATTTAAATTAGTTTAAAATAACCCACTGCCTTCTACATACAGTGAGGATTATCCTTTTATATATTTTAAAGAAGTGGCACAGCAGAAAGATTCGTCGGTAATTACGAGGGTGGATTGATATAAAACTAGAAACTATAAAAAACTATAAAACTGAAAAAAATCCTTCGGATCGCGCCGTATCATCGCTAAAAGCGTCTTCGAAGTGGTCACAAGTTTTTGCATTTGATCGATTGTCAGCAAACGTGACACCCATCGCGCGGATAGCTTTTTCATGTCCAAATGATGGTGAATGATGTTGTTTGTGTACGCGTTCGTAGGAAATGTTTAGAAATTCGACGATCTGCCATAATTATGTCATGGACTTTTTTGATCATTTCCGGCGTGGTGACTTCATTTGGCCTCCCGGGACGCTCATCATCAAAAACACTCGTACGACCACGAACAAATTCAGCTTTTCAAAATTTTACTGTTGCTAACTAAGGTGCAACCACATCATAAACTTCGTCTAGGTCGGCTTTGATTTGCACATTCTTTTTACTCTTTTTGTAGAGGAACTTAATCACCGACCGATACTCGATTTTTTCCATTTCTCCGAAAACACAAAATTTGCTCGCTTTTGACGGCTGTTGTTTTTAAAACTTAAAATTTTGACAGACGTCATGTCATGAATGGCAAATGTCAACATCGAAATCACTTCGGTATCAAGTACCGTCATCTATTAAAAGCTAGTTTAATATTAATCTATCCTCGTATTTGATATTTCATGATTTTTTTCTGGTTTAATTAAAGCTACTATTTTTGCTTTACGCCATAGTTTTGAGATTTTATATAATAACACAATGATCCATTTCAATGTAAAAATGTTGTTTTTAATAATGAATTAAACAAAAAATATATATTTTATTTTATTTTTCAAGCAAAACATGATATAAATTAGTCATAACGTATTGTCGTAGTAGCTGGTTCATAATGTTGACATAATTCTTCGTAATGGGGACATTCACTAAAGAAGTTCTTAATAAATGTAGCTTCAGTGCCGTTTTCTCTAAAAACAAAATAAACGGATATGTTGCTATTAATATCATAAAAATATAGTAGAATGTCTACGAACGATTGGGCAAACAAATAATAGTATATTACTTTATGAGGCGGAGAAGCATGACTTTTCTTGACGCGCTCAATATTACGCGCCGAACGAAGTGAGGCGCGTAATAGAGGGCAAGTCAAAAAAAGTCGCTTCTTTGCCGAATAAAGTATACTATTTTTTCTTCAAACGTAGCAATTTTCAACCATAAATAGTACAATTCATACGCTATTTTTACTCGAAATTAACTGTGACAACTATCAAAGTCGTCTAGATGTTAGAAATTAAAATAATTAAGCCGTCGGTGGGATTTGCGTCTCCGTGGTTACAGTTTGACAGTTTTTTGCAATTATTAAAGACAGCTTATTGTTGTTGCAACCGCAAGCACAAATTTAGTGCGAAAATGGAAAACCTAAACGAAATTGAGTTTGCGGCTAATGATGCAGTAGCTCGTTTGGGGCCCTCCAAGTCCGGAATAAAGTATCGGTTAGCGTACCCAAGAGTGGTGCGATACAAGAGGAGTACGGCAAGTTACCGAAGACGTTTTACTAGCATATTTTAATATAATGGAAAATGAAAATAAATGGAAATCTTCTACAATGTGGTTACGATACTCTATGATAAAATCCGAGTTAGTTATTAGAAAAAATGTGGATATAAGCAAATTTTTAAAGTTACGTGCCTTTCTGAAAAAAACAAGCGAAGGATATACTGCAAAGAAGTCTTAAGATTTCACTAAAGACGAGTGTGATAAATTTTTGTTTGAAGCGCCAAATAAGATGTATTTAGGATTAAAGGTAAAAAAAAATATATTACAAAGCATGTAGTATACTCTACTAAATTATAAAAATATTTCAGACTGTTTTGTTATTTGGGGTTAGCGGCCGGCGCCTATCGATGCGACGAAATGGTAAAAATGAAGACTGCGGACATTGAGGATAAAGAAAATGTAATAATTATCAAAACCCCAGACAGTAAAAACACGACAAATTAGATCTTTTACGATAATTGGTCAAAACTACATTAAACTGTATAAAAAGTATGCATCACTGCGACCTGAAAATTTCACAGAAAACCGATTTTTTATCAAGTACCAAAATGGAAAGTGTTACCGAAGCGTCATGGGAATACATTCGATCAGCGCAGTAGCCCAAAAAGTAGCTAGGTATTTAAATTTAAAGGATGCAAGCGCATACGCGGGTCACTCTTTACGACGAACTTCAGCAACACTTTTAATTGATGGAGGCGGAAATCTAGAATGCCTCAAACGACATGGGGGGCTGGAAATCAAGCACGGTTGCCGAAGGATATATAAAGGATTCAGTAAGAAATAAGAACAATAATGCTCAAAACATTTTAAACCCTCATGATTCGCCAACATCGGGAATGATTGCTGAAAGTTCTCGACCATCAGTATCATCAACAATTACCAATGCATATCAAGAGTCGGGAATATTTTTGCACGGTTTCAATTTTGAAAATGCCTCATTAAGTAATTGTACTTTTAATATAACTATAAATAAAAATGATGTTTAATTATTGTTAATGACATTTGTATTGTTGCTTTGTGACATGTTTCATATTGTTGCCATGAGAACATTTTTCCCTCCGTCGTAAAGAAATGGGAAAAAAACTGCTGCCGGCGGAGACATCAAACTTTGACAGGATTAAGCTAGATAAATAATTTCATCATTATTTGACGTTTGAAGAAAAAAATGTTTCTTATGGTATTTAATAAATTTAGTGAATTCACAAACTGAATACGATATAAAAAATACAAGATAAAGGGACAGGTTTGAAGTATCGTTTTGAAATTATTACAACATGGTAGGTTTGAATTTATCATTGTCGTCATGATGCTTACCAACCAATAAATTCTT